GATGACCTGCTCCACCAGGGCGCGATGGCCGACCCCGCGCAACCAGAGCGCCACGGCATCTCGAATGGCGTTGTGGCGGCGCACCGGGCCACCTCCCCGGGGGCAGTTGAGCGCGCGAACGCAGCGGACGTCCACCGCGCGGCCACACGCCGGGCCGGCCTGCGCCACCGCGCGAGTGGGCGCCGCCGGCCGGTTCTGGCACGTGCACTCGGACTGCAGCAGCGGCAAATGCATGCGCCTCTTGGCCGCGATGCAGAACGCGTGGTCGGCGCCCCTCGAAGTTATCCAACCAGGCGCCCGCTGAGCTGCCCGAGGCACTATGCACCGCCGCCGCCGCCGTCGCCGGCAGCGCGGCCAAGAACGTCTTGGTGGCGTGGTCCCGTACATGCTGGGTGTACGTCTTCTGGTCCTTGCCCTTCCGCCCTTCCAAGAGGCCCTGCCAGCGGTCGCCCTGGGGGCGACGGCCTCCTGCCAACCGTCCCTGCTCCGCGTCCGCCGCCGAGAGGGCGCGGCCAAGGCCCGGCCACCGCCGCCAGAAGCCAACCGTTGTCGTCTCGCGGAGCTCCTGGGCAGCCGCGTGGATCCCGGCTTCCCAGGACGCCAGGAGGGCAGCGGGGCCGCGCTGTTCGGCGCTGCCACAGCCCAAACCTCCGTCGCTGACCATCATGAAGATTTGCTCTTGGGGGGCGGCCGTGACCCCCAGAAGGGCGTTGACGAAGGCGACCACTCCGTCATCCACCCGGCGGCCCCACGCCGCCGTGAGCGGAAGCGCGCGCTGGATGTGGACGCAGGCGCCCCTCGACCAGATCCGCAACAACTGGACGGCGTCAAAGGCAGACAGCCCGTGCGTGCGGAGCATCAAGAGTTCCCGGAAGTAGCGGTCCTGCTTCTGGGAAAGGCCTCGCCACAGGGGAGTGGCATGGCGGCACCCGGGGCGACCCCGGCACCGCCAGCCGGCGCGAGGCCGCCCGCGTCGAGGTCCTCCGGGGCGGCAAAGTCCGTGAGCGGGACGCCCCACCAGTCAGCATCCACGTCGTGGTTTGTGTAGGCCAGAGTAGACCCCACCGCCTTGAGCTTCGGGACGCGGTACTGGGCGTACTCCGCGAACTCCGGCGGCAGGACAGCGCGAGGGTCCGGGGACCAGATCTGGGTCTTGGACATCTTCAGCTTCATCCCATGGGCTTCGATGCGGGCTCGCCAGGCATCCAAGCCACGGAGCACAGCAGCCGCGGTGCCCACGAAGTACGTGTCGTCCAAGAACGCCAGGCAGTCCCCCTCGACGTCCACCGCGCGCACGGCCATGCGACCGATGCTGAGGTCATCCGCGGTGCCGGCCGCGAAGAAGCCAGGGCTCATAGGGCAGCCCTGGTCGAGGCCGCGGATCTGGTCGACCAGCTGGGCAGGTTGGGACCCACCACCCGCCACGTGGCGCGTGCGAGCAGGGAGCCAGGCCTCCGCCAGCGGCGCCAGGGCGGGCACCTTGGAGCGCACGGCCTCCTTAACGAGGTCACGGGGGATGTTGCTGAACGAATCCCCGAGGTCCACCGCCACCACCCACTTGCCAGGGCTCGAATTGGCCATCGTACAGAGGCGTCGGTGGAGGGCACCGCAGCCGTCCTTAGCCAGGCCGAACTGTTGGTCCCCCACCGCCGCCCGCATGTCCGCGTGATGGACCTCGGCCACGCTGCGGCCCACCATGCGGCGGGTGACATTCCCACAGCCCAGGACTCGCACGTCCCCAGGGGTGGCCTTGGGGATGCCTGCGAGGCGCGCCGTGGTCAGGGCGGCTAGAGCTTCGGGAGGAAGGTCGCCGATGGCCAGGCGCGCCAGCGTGTTGGCTACCGCCTCCGCTCCGTCTTCGTCGTGCTTGAGCGGGGCCCAGTGCTCGTAGCGTCCGCCTCCAGGTCCCGCACCGCCACGGCGGGGGAAGCGACCAAACTGGCGCTTGAGGTGGTTGGCCACGCGGCGGTGTAGCTCTGCCGCGCCAAGGAGCTCGTGAGAGGGCGTGGCTGGCGGCATCGCCACGTCGGCCCCCGCCGCGGGGGGCCCCCCCCCCCGGCCCATGCGGGGCGGCCCCGGTGCCAGGGGGAGGGCCCCATTCGCCTGGGCGAGGCGCCGCAGGCTGCTGGGCGGTGCTAAACTTCCGAACCACCGCCGCCGCATCCGCCATATCACCCTGGGGCCACACTGCCGCTGCCGCCCGAGACATTTCGCCCGCTCGCGCGAGCTCAGTGACACGGCGAACGCGGGCCGCGACGTGGTCTTCGCGGCCCTTCGCGGTGACCGCGGTGCGCGTCTGGTCCTCCATGGAGAGCCAGGCGACATCCCATTGGCCGTCCTGGATCCACTGCGAACGCTCCTGGAGGCGTTCTCGTCGCGTCGCCGGGGTCGGGGTCGCGCTCTCGTTGAAGAGCAGCCCGTCCAAAGCCGAGAACACCTTCCACGAGCGCGTCAGCGTGCGCGACGCCAGGCCGTCACCCCCCTGGCGGGCCTGCTCGATCGCCAGGCGCAGCCGCACCTTCACGTGGCTAACCGCGGCGGCCACGCTGTCAGGGATCATGGCCGCGGTGGGCGCGGCGCCCTGTAGCAGGATGCGGTCCCACCCGATGGTGCCCCACCAATCCAGATTGACAAACCGAATCTCACGGCGCGCATCTTCGTCAGCCACCTGGTCGTCCAGGTAGTCATCGTGGACGCCTGCTTCGAGCCCCCCTGTCGTCGTCCGCGGCCGCGGGGGCGTCAAGGGGCGGCTGTAGGACGTCCGCGGGAGACGGCGCCTCCGCCTCGGCTGCCACCGGGGGAGCCCCACGGGAGCCCGGGCCATACGCCCCTGGCGCGACGGCGGCAGGGAGCCTCGGAGCGACCCCAGCACCCCCTGCCGCGCCGTCTCCCTGGGAGGGGGGAGCGGGCACCTGGCCTTCGACCGTCTCCAGCAGGGGCAAGATGGGGCCGCCTCGGGCCTCCAGAGCAGCTGTGAGGCGTTCCCTGTCGCCCTCGGGGAGCTCCGTGTAGCCCTCTATCGCCGTCGCTGGTGGCAAGGGGCCATCCACGCAGGTCATGTGGAACCACTTCTTGCCCGCGTGCGCCTGGGAGCCCACGGGGCGCGTCACAGCGCCTGCCACGCGCCACTCGCCCGCCTCGAAGCCTCCCATGCAGCGGGTGCAATGGGCTTGCTTGCCGCGGGTCGCCTGGGCGCTGACGCACCAGCGAGTGATACGCCCTCCCGTCATGCGGCGCCGTCGCTGCGCCGGCTGACCTTCACTATCCCGCATGTGGACGTCGGCGCCGCCGTCCACTGGGACTTCTGGAACGCTTGCATCGGCCGATGCGAGTGCGACAGCGGAGGCGCACGGGGCGGCCCCGGCACCTCCGCTGCCCGCTGCGGCTGCCAGCCCACCGCCTTCACCTCGGCCCGCCGCGTCGTTTCTCCCAGCCACTCGAGCCCCTGCACCTGCGTCCGCAGCGCCGCCAGCGGCTGCCGCCATCCCGGGACCTCCCTTCAGGGCAAGGAAGAGTGTGCGTAACGGTGAGGGCACGAGAAAAGCAAGGGTGGCTGTCACCCGCGGTTTGAGGGCAGCAGTAGCCCCCCCGCCCACAGGCTCCCCAGAGCCTTGGGGGGACGACTACTACTACTACTACTACTACTACTACTACTACTACTACTACTACTACTACTACTACTACGACTACTACTACTACTACTACTACTACTACTACTACTACGACTACTGCTACTACTACTACTACTACTACTACTACTACTGCTACTACTACAAGTACTACTGTTACTACTACTGCTACTGCTGCTACTACTAATACTACTACTAACTACTACTACTACTTCTACTCATTCTTCTAACTACTGCTACTGACTACACTACTTTACTCATTACTACTACTAACTTACTACTGCGACCACTACTACGACTACTAATACTACTACTACTAATACTCTACTATTACTACTAACACTAACTACTACTACTACTAATAACCACTATACTACTACTACTAACTATACTATACTACTAACTACTACACGACTACTACTACTACCTACTACCACTACCACTACCACTCCCCTGACCCCTACTACCACCAATTACCACTAACCACTGCCACTACCACTACCACTAAAATAAAAAATAAAAAAAAAAGAAAAAAAAGAAGAAAAAAAATAAACCACTAAAATAAAAAATAACAGAAAAAATTAAAAAAAAAAAAAGCACTACCACGACAACTACCACGACCACTACCACTGCCACTATTATTTTTACTACCTCGCCCACACCGCCCACTGTCGGAATGTGTATGATGGCACCAACCTTGCAGGACCACCCAAATGCCTCCCTCTGCAAAACGAGCCGCTTTTGTTATCAATTGAGCACATGACACCTACCTGCAATGCCTCTGCACAGCTGCAGGACGCCAATACTTTGGCTGCTCAGCCCAACTTCGTCTGGTGGAACCCGATGTGGTACAGCCCCATCGCGACCAGAGGTGAGGCACAAGGGGGTTACCAGAACCCAGGATGGGAAAACTTTTGGCGCGCGCATGTTTAAGCAGCTTGAACAAGAATGGCCAAGGCGACGGTGATGATGATGAGAGCTGAGAGCCATGATGATGGATCAGATGCGGCTGAGGATGCAGAGGAGGAGGCGGAGGAGGAGGAGGAGGCACTTAAGGGGGGGCGTATGGGCTGGTGCGAAGGAGAAGAAGCCGTACGACAGGAAAGACAACAAAGGAGTGGGAGAGACCCAGGAGAAGGAAGTTCTGGAGCGGCAGAGCCACGAAGGGCGGCAGGAAAAGCCATGAGGCAGGAGGAACAGGAGACAGGCCGGGAGCAGGGGAACCAGGATTGAGCAGACAGAGAACGGCCGCATGCACAGGAGGATGCGAAGCACGAGGTGCTGGAGGGGGGAGAGGGGAGGTGGAGAAGGAACAAATATGAGCAGGTATTGCGCCGCTGCTGCTCCAGAGATCCAGTGCCCCCCCAGCTCCTGTGGGGCCGTCGCGGCATCGGCAGGCATGGCCTGAGAGGCGCGCCGACTACCGTCCAGACGGACAAGTTACGCAGTGCGCCTCCTCTTTCTCCTCCTCCTCCTCCTCCTCCTCCTCCACCTCCTCCTCCTCCTCCTCCTCCTCCTCCTCCTCTTCTGCAACCATTCCCCTCGTGGGCAGGCCGCCCGCCTCGGCCCCCCCGGCGAGCTTCTTCCATCAGACTTGAGAGCGGCACTGATGGCAGGGGCCACCCGGTGGACTGGGACGACCGCGTGAAAGGCTGGTCACCAGTGGGGCCAGCAGTACTGGTGTTCGGCTCCGACCATCCCTTGACCTCCTCCTCCCTCTCATTCCCAAAACGTCCTCCTGCCTTTCCTTCTCCTCCTTCTCCTCCAGAGGACTTTCAGAGATGAGCTTCCTGGTTCAAGGATTTTCGGAGATGCTTCACTATTTGGTTTGGCGAGTTCCGCCCTTAGTTGCAGGCTGTCGATGCGCGCCGCGCCTGTTGGCGGCTGTCGGCGACGAGGCTGATGCAACACATGATGGCTCCGTCCGAGAAGGATGGTGCCAATGGCCATCATGGGGAGAAGAAGGAGGAGGCGGTAAAGAAGGTCAGGTCGGGGAAATGCCTGGGCTGTGGGCGCTTTTCCTTGCTCCTCCTCTCTTCCCCCTCCTTCTCCGCCCACGCCTCTCCCTCGGACCTCTAGCCTTCGAAGCGGTGAAGGGTAGGCCATCAGAAATCAAGAGCCTCGGGAATCGAAAAGAAGAGAAAATAATACGGCAAAGAGCCATGCCATCAGAAGCAACAGAGCCTCAAGGACCGAACAAGACGGAGTGCGCTGTCATCAAGTGCATATTCAGGCTCCGACGATTGCGAGCGTGCTAGCCAATGTGCTGCCTCACGCTCCGATCTTCAGGAGCACCCATGTAGGTTACAACTCACACGGTGCGAGCCCTCTTGCGTAGTGCTTTCCATCTACGTGGGAGCTAAGTCGCATAATCCAGCATCATCCTCCTCTTATGCCCCCTCCTCCTCCCCCTCCTCCTTCCCCTCTTCTTCCCTTCCCCTCCTCCTCCGCCTCCTCCTATCCTCCACCTCTTCCTCCTCCTCCTCCTCCTCCTCCTCCTCCGTTCCCTCTTCCTCCCCCTCTTCCCCTCCCCCTCCTCCTCCTCTTTCCCTCATCTCCTCCTCTCCGCCTCTGCTCCTGTCATGCCCTCTCCTCCCTCCCGATCTTCTCTGGACGAGAATCAGGTGTAATTCCGGGACGCTGTTGAGATCTCATCCCGACGATCATCCCACGCCGAGCGTGGAACCACCCCTATCCCCTCCCATACCCCGACCGAACGACGTGATGCATCTCTGTCTGTAATATCCCTGTCTCTGCCTCTGTCCCTCTCTCTCTCTCTCTCTCCCTCTCCATACATGTAGTTGCAAAGATGGATAGCCACCTCTCGCCGGTACCCCCTCTCCGAATCCTGCCCCTGCCATGGCGGACGACAGGAGGGGATCGCAAACGGGCGCGTCAGCGTCTCAGCCGATGCCGCTAGCTTTTTCTGGCGCCTCCGGGCGCTGGAGGCGCCCGCGCATCGGGGAAGCGCCTGGCGGCGCAGCCGCAACTGGCTGTACGCGGCGGATGTCATAACACATCCCTTTCACGATCCACCCTCTGACGAACATTAGGGGGGGAGATGGTCAGGGGGGTATCGATCTGGAATTGGCGATACATCGCCGATTGATCGGCGATATGTCCCCGTCCTGGACGGGGTGGGCCATCGGGCCCCTATTGGCGTTCAGTGGGCGAATGGGGGTCGATGCGTCCCTCCTGAGCTTATCCCCTCCGAACGTGTTGCAAGGACTGCGGGTGTTACAGCCAACATCAACTTCGTGGCTTGGCGGATTCGTGTTCAGCCCATACGCGCCCACCCGGCCTTATACGAAGTCTCGGCGAGAACATCGCGACGGCACTTCGCGTGACCTGCGGTCCCAGTTGCTCAAGGCGGAAAAAAGCCGACCGGAGATCGAAAAGCATACGCACACACTCGCTTCGCGACTGGCCTCATCTCATCTCGGCACCCCCGTCCGACGCGATCCTGCTCCGCCGTGCCGTGCCCCTCCCGCTCGTGCTCCGACTGGTGCTTCCCGCCGCTGCCCCGGCCAGTGACCCCGCGCCCGCCGTCGACACTGCGACCCTGGCGTGCCCACAGGTCCGGGAGGCCCTGGACGGGGGAAGAGGAGGAGGGGAAGGAGGAGGAGGGAGGAGGAAGGAGGACGAAGAGGAGGAGGACGGGGAGGAGGGAGGAGGAAGGAGGATTTGGATCCGGAGCGATTGAGAAGCAATATTCAAACACTGCAACGCCATCCCTGACCTCCATGAACCTCGCGGCCACAGGGTAAACAACGTCCGTGCCCGGTGGTGGAAGCCGAGGAGTCCACAGAACACGCGGACGCCGCGGAGGAGTGGACGAGGAGGGATGACGAAGAGGAGGATTGCGGAGGTACAGTCATCGGCCTGACCTAAGGAACGATAAATAAGGAACGAAGCCCCTTTTTTATCCCAAGGAATAACGCATAAGGAACGATACATAACAAATAACGCATAAGGAACTGTAAATAACGCATGCAAACCTCAGGAAAGACCGAGCCCCTTTTGAAAAGTAGGTGTTCCTCATTCAAGCCGCTCGCTGTAGGAGGTACGAGGAGGGAGGGTGAGGAAGGCGGGGAGGTGAATGTGGAGGAAGGGGAAAAGGCAGGAGAGAAGAGGAGGCAGCAGGAGCCGACGACAGCTGGCGCGCCGCCTCCGCGGCTGGCTGTGTGGCCATTGCAAAAGGGTTCTGGCTGGGCGCGGTGCTGCCCATCGCCTGTGCGCGCTGGCCCGCCCACCCCCTCCCCCCCCACACCATGCCCCCTCCCTCCCTCCACTCCCTCCTTCCCTCCCTCCCTCCATTTCCTCCATTTCCTCCCCCTCCTCCTCCTCCTCCTCCTCTCACTCTTCCTCCTCCTCCTCCTCCTCCTCCTCCTCCTCCTCCTCCTCCTCCTCCTCCTCCTCCTCCCTCGTCGGTGGGTCCCGCTGCTGGAGTGGGGCATTGACCTGTCTGTGCAACGGGTCGCGTCGCTCACGTCTGAAACTTTGGTAGGCGATACTCTTTCGATGCATTCCTTATTCATTTCCGTGCATTCGACCAGTTTGCTGACTTCGAGTGTGGCGGTCCAGCCCGGTCCAGCCCTTCTCCCTCCTTCCGAAGCGGTTAGCGACTTGTCTCCAATCGACTTGCTGGGATCAGGCTAGGTAGATCGAGGTAAGTCTTGCCTCAAGCACGAGGTGGAGCGCCCTAAAGCTCATGCAGTTCTCAGGGGTGGATGGAGGGGTCGTGCGGCTCTTACGGGCCTGGGCCGCGAACTTCCTGAAATTCCTGGGCGCTGCTGGGCGCTCCTGGGTGCCTCTGGGATGACCACGGTGGGCATCCAGGCCGGTCCCCTCGCCCAGGAGGGCCCCAAAAGAAGCCAAGAAAGCCCCTGGAGATCGCCCAGACAGTCCACGAGGGCCCAGACTCGCCGAACGACCGCTCCAAGATGCCTAAGATTGCCACCAGACGGCCCAAGACGCCTCCAAGACGCGCCAACAGGCTTCCAAGAACACCCCCGAGAGGGCCCAAAGATGCAACAATCATTGAACCCCCGTTGGTTTTTGACAGATTTTAGCGTTCCTATCTTTTCTGTTCCACGATACTCCAAGACGGCCCAAGAGGCCCCCAAGATCGCGCCAAGACGGCCTAAGAGGCCGCCAAGAGGGCTCTGAGGGGGCACAAGCGGCCCCCAAGATGGCCCAAGAAGTTTCAAAAACGGCCCAACCCAGGCACGGTGGCGGGATGGACCGAAGGGAAGCCAGATCCGCCGCCCCCTGTCGATTCATCGCAGGGGTGCCTGGCGTGCTGAACCCTTTTGTTTTGGGTTTTGGTTCTTTTCCAAAAGAACTCCCCCTGGGGCTTCGGCCCGTCCCGCCGGCCACCCGGAAACTGCATACGTCAATGCCAAAAACGGCCGTTTCGCTCGGGACATCCTCAAACAATCACGAAGATGGCCCAAGATGGCCTGCAAGATGCCTCCAAGACAGCCAAGATGGCCTCCAAGACGGCTAAGATGGCCCCAAGATGCATCCAAGACGGCCCAAGATGCACCCAAGACGGACTTCGATTAGATGGGCCCAAGAGGCCCCCAAGAGGCCTCCAAGACGGCCCAAGAGGCCTTCAAGAGGTCCTCCAGGAAGGCCCAACGAGGGCAAAATCACTGTTTTTCCTAAGGATTTTTGAAAAAAAAAACAAAAAAAAAAAACAAAACAACAGAAAAAACAAAAAGAGTAAATAAGAAAAAAAAAAAAAAAAAAAAAAAAAAAACCAAGAAAAAAAGAAAAACCAAAAAAAAAAAAAAAAAAAAAAAAAAAAAAAAAAAATAAGAAAATTCAAAAAAAAGAAAAAAAACAAAAATAAAAAACAAAGAAAAAAAAATTAAAACCAAAACATCAAAACAAAAAAAAAAAAACAATTTGAAAGAAAAAAAAAAATAAAAAAAAAAAAAAAACAAAAAAAAAAAAACAAAATAAAACATAAAAGAAAAAAAAAAAAAAAGGAGTTTTTTGGCATTTGCGCCTTTTCGGCTTTCCGACGGCCCGTGACGGCCCCAGGGGCCCCCAAGGTCGCCCCAAGATCGCCCAAGAGGCCTACAAGATGGCCCCATGACTGCCCAAGAGGCCCCCATGACGGTCCCGAAAGGGACCTAAGACGGCCCAAGAGGCCTCGCAGACGCCCAAGATGGCCTATAAGACGGCCCTGGCCCCAAGTCGGCCCAAGTGGCCTCCAAGACGGCCCCCAAGATGGCCTCCAAGACGCCCAAGATGGCCTCCAGGACGGCCCCGAAGCGCCCCAAGAGGGCCCCAAGTCGGCCCAGAAAGGCCCCCGAAACGGCTTCCGACGGCGTCAGACGGGCCAGGAGCCCCACCAAGATGGCCGAAGGTGGCTCGCAGCTTGCCCAATACGGCCCAAGAGGCCTCCAAGAGGGCCTCCAGGAAGGCCAGAAAAAGGCCCAAAAGGGTGATTTCCCTATGGTTTTGGAAGGATTTTGACATTTGCTTAGTTTCGGCCTTCCGACAGCCCGATACGGCCCAAGAGCTCCCAAAGATCGCCCAAGGATCGCCCAAGAGGCCTCCAAGACGCTCAAGATGGCCTCCAAGACGGCCCACGAGCCCTCCAAGACGTCCTCCAAGAAGGCCCGAAAGGGTCAAAATGGCCTCCAGGCGGCCAAGATGACCTTCTAGATGCCCACGTGTTCCCCGAAGGCTTTCCAAACCGATTCGGGGAACACATGGTCCGATAGCTTGGCAGGTCTGGCCTCAACGTTCGGCCACATAGGCGCTTCCACAAAGGCAAGGGGCGGCGGTGATTCGCCGTAGGCGTCTTCGATCCGCCGCCCCCCCTTTTGCTTCATCAAAGGGGTGCATGGCGTGCTGGACCCTCTCGGTTTTGGCTTTGGTTCTTTTTCCAGAAGAACTCCCCCTGGGGCTCCGGCGCGTCCCGCCGGCCACCCGGAAGAGGTGGTTGCCAACGGTTTTCCTGCCCCAGACGGCCCCAAGATGGCCTCCAAGACGGCCAAGATGCCTCCAAGACGCCCAAGATGGCCTCCAAGACGGCTCAGATGGCCCCAAGATGCCTCCAAGACGGCCCAAGATGTACCCAAGACTGCCTAAGATAGCCTGACTATGGCCCAAGACGCCCCAAGAGGCCCCTCAGAGGCCTCCAAGACGGCCCTAGAGGCCTCCAAGAGGTCCTCCAGGAAGGCCCGACGAGGCCAAAATTATTGATTTTCCGTAGGTTTTGAAAGGATTTGGGTATTTGCGCCTTTTCGGCTTTCCGACGGCCCCAGACGGCCCAAGAGACACCCAAGATTGCCCAAGATCGCCCAGCAGGCCTCCAAGATGTCCCCGTGACGGCCCCAGAGGCTCCCAAGACGGCCCCAAGAGGGCCCCAAGAGGCCTGCAAGACGGCCAAGATGGCCTCCAAGACTGCCAAGATGGCCCAAGATGGCCTCCAAGATGGTCCAAGATGGCCTCCAAGTCCGCCCAAGAGAGGAGGTGCCTCCAAGTCTGCCCAAGAAACATCCAAGACGGCCCAAGAGGTGCCCAAGAGGCTTCCAAGACGGCCTAGGTGGCCTCCGAGAGGTCCACCAGGAGGGCCCGAAGAGGTCAAACTTTTTGACTGTCCTTCGGTTTTTGAAGGATTTTCGTTTTTGCTCCTCTCCGCCTGTCCGACGCCCCCAGATCGCCCACGAGGCCGCTTAGATCGCCCCCCACAGCGCCCAAGCGGCCTCAAAGATGGCCGAGTAGGACTGCCCAAGAGGCCCCCAAGACGGCCCCAAGAGGGCACAAAGACGACCCAAGAGGCCTCCAAGACGCCCAAGATGGCCTCTAAGACGGCCCTGGAGCGCCCCAAAAAGGCCCCAAATCTGCCCAGAGAGCCCCCCCAAACGGCTTCCGACGGCGTCAGACGGGCCAGGAGCCCACCAAGATTGCCGAAGTTGGCTCGAAGCTGGCTCAAGACGCGCCTAGAGGCCTCCAAGAGGGCCCCCAGGAAGGCCAAACACAGTGTTGTACCTTGGGTTGTTTAAAATCATGTGTTTCTTTTCGTCCATCCGAAGGCCAAATACGGCCCGAGAGCCCCCAAAGATCGCCCAAAGATCGCCCAAGAGGCCTCCAAGATGGCCCAAGAACGGCCTAAGAGGCCCCCTAGACGGCCCAGGAGGCTTTGAAGACGCCCAAGATAGCCTCCAAGACGGCCCTGGAGCATTCCAAGAGGACCCCAAGTCGGCCCAGAGGGGCCCCCCAAACGGCTTCCCACGGCGTCGGACCCAGGAGCACACCAAAACGAGCGAAGGTGGCCCTAAGATGGCCCAAGACGGCCCACGAGGCTTCCAAAAGGGCCTCCAGGAAGGGCCAAAAAGGTCAAATTCACTGATTTCCCATGAGTTTTTGAAACATTGAGGCGTTTGCTTTTTTTCTGCCTTCCGACGGCCCGAGACGGCCCAAGTGCACCCAAAGATCGCCCAAAAGGCCCACGACGGCCCCCAGAGGCCCCCAAGACGGCCCAAGACCAAGACGCTCAAGATGGCCTCCAAGACGGCCCAAGAGCCCTCCAAGACGTCCTCCAAGAAGGCCCGAAAGGGTCAAAATGGCCTCCAGGCGGCCAAGATGACCTTCTAGATGCCCACGTGTTCCTCGAAGGCTCTCCAAACCGATTCGGGGAGCACATGGTCCGATAGCTTGGCTAAGCTCTAGCCCAGCTGCCGGCCACATAGGCGCTTCCAAAAGGGCCCGAAGGGGCCCTCGAGAGGCTGTAAGAGAGCCCAACAACATGGCCTCCAAGACGGTACCAGATGGATCAATCGAGCCCGAGAGTGCCTCATGAGGCTCCGAAGAGGCATACGTACTCCCTCCTTCTCATTTGTACTTTCCACTTCTCTTCCTCTTTCTCCCCCAAGTGTTCCCCGAAAGCGTTCCAAAGCGACTCGGGGAAATCATGATCTGCTAGATTGGCCAAGCTCTAGCCCGGCTGTCGACCGCATAGTCGCTTCCACAAGGGCGCATCGCAACCTCGGACTCCTCTTGTTCCTTCTCATTTTCTCCTCCTCCTCCTCATTCTCCCCTGAGCTAATGTGCACAGAGCAGATGGCAGAGATGAATCAGGATGGCGTTCGCCCAATATGTTCCACGACACACTCCCTAGTGTCGTGCATGTTTTTCCATCGCATAGTTTTATCAAGTCAGTTCAAGAGCAGTTTCTTCAGCAGGAATCCGAGGGCTGGCACGCTT